GCAATTAATATGCAAGAACAAGAATGAAGTTATCGGAGGATTACTGCAAAAGTACAGTAGTACCACACAGTAATATTTACCAGCACATAGCACAGATTGATGATACCCCATACTGCTCGAGTGCATACTTGGCAATATTCTCACTATAAGATAATTATACATCTACATTACATTAGTAATATATTTGTGGGAAAAAATTGTTTAATATTATAATAAAAACATATTGTGAGCATGAATGTTTGCATTTAGGCATGTGATTCTATTTCCGTCAAACGCTACAGCACTTCTGCATCTGATATGAACAAAGAAATGTGTGAATGTTCGTGATAAAAGAAGATATTTGAATGATCAAATAATGCAGATGTGCTTGGGAATGAATGCACATGCAGCTTTGTAGAAAATATGTGTATCCACCAAAGCAAATACTAAATGTATATACAACTAGCCAGAAATGTCACCACCACACAATGACATTTTCTCAAAACATCTTAACATCCAATATTCTTATTCAATACTTTTTTTGTGGGCCAGTCATTTACACTTGTCAATTCTGACCGGTGCTACAAATTGTGCAGTTATAGGCTTGTGATAAGACACAAATGCTAAATGGAAATAAACCTTTAGAAAGCCAAATTTTTTTCACAATTAATCAACGTTATATCCCCCCTCCAAAAATTAACTTCAGGTGCATTTTTTTTACACACTTTTGCATTTTTCTATAATTTTGAACCCAATGAACATAATATTATTAATAGTAAATGCACTTATGAAAATTATATATTTTTATCCAAGTGATATTTTCATGATTCATTATATATAACAAGTGCAATTTTCAATTTATATTAAAATTTATTGGAATTGTATTATAGAGCAAATATGGTATTTTTTTTATTTACCACAGTTTTGGAACAAAATTGTTGAAAATCTGAAAAATTTGCAGCATGTTTATTACATAAAAAATGGAAAAGATGACTGGTTTTCAAACTGAGTTCACTTACAAAGTAAATAAGTAAGTGGGACTAAACATTTTATAATTTTTATTTATTTTTTATCACAAGTACATATACATGTAATATATTAATATATTTATCATAACATCAAAAAAACAACTACAACTGGTAATTTATATAAAATAATAATATAGCAACCACTGCTTATAGCAAAAAGAATAATTATTTTGTACTCTTGAGAATACATTTATTATACTGAATTTTGAAACCAAAACAAAAATTTTACTAAAATGTTCAAAAATTGACAGTAACCAAACTATAACATTTTAAAAGTAAAACAATTTTTTGCAGGAGTATAATTAATTAATATATTTATTGGTTCTGAAAATAGACTTCATGCCACTGAATTGAAAGTATCTAGAATTGTTTTTGCAAGTACAAAATGTAAGTGAATTAAATATAACATCAAAGTAATCAGTAAGCTCCAGCAAGCTTTAATTATATACAAAACTCTCATGGGTTGTCTACTTGAGTCACAACAATACCAGACATGAAAACTAAACCACCTTACTAAGGTGCCTGACATGTTTCAGGACATCACATAAGAGTACACTTCCTCCATCGTCATGATATATGCACTATTTAGGTATTGACCATAGTATATCCATAACTAAACATATCAAAGTAACTACCCATCAATATATAAACCCTTTTAACTACTTCAGTATTAGAATTCAAAATTAACGTTAAGGAGAATAAATTGCTTTAATCATATCATTAAAATGCATGCATGAATAGCATTAATAAGCGCACACCGAGAAAACCAAACAATCCATCAAGAAATACACATACAGTACTACGTACAGTAATACGTTGTATATCCCAACAGCTCAGAACACATGATTTTGTTCAGATATACAAATAGTTCGGTTTTACAAACCTTGGGATGGGATATTAATTTTTGTTGTTCAATTTGACTATTCACACACTACATGTATATACTATACAATGATATCTGTTTGATTTTATTTGCAGACTGAATAAGTTACAGTAATGTTATCATTAATTGAGACGCAAGATTAAATACATGTACTCTTGTTTCAAATTTACCATAGTTGAAAAAGCAAGATTGTAGTTAGATTTATCTACATAGACCAAATAAGACAAATTTGGTGTCTCCAGCAAACACATAAAAACATACTGGGTAGATTTTGTTATTCTATTTTACAAATGAGGTTGTACTATAGTTATTTAGAACATAGTCATAGTTTAGCTACATGGTCTCAATAGAATTAAGTATTCACTGCATAGTAGAAAGAAAATAAAAACAAGAATTAAATTGGTGGAATGATCATAAAGCTAATCTGCATAGAAATAAACCATCATTTGCATGACATCAATTATTCAATTTACCAAAAAATATGGGAGGGTAGGGTTACTGGAAGAAAATAATTTCATCTTATTTAGTATAAACCAGACTACTGAAATGTTTCAATGCTTCCAGGGTTATTTCGGGCTTTTTTCATTAAAATTATTAAATAGTGATTCCAAGTAGAAACTTTTTTCTGTCTTTTAATGAAAATCGCAGAAAATGTGAATTTTGCCCTCTAGAGTCACATTAGAGAAATGATATTAGAAGTCATTACATGCTCGAGTTTCGCGAATAATTTGGGATATGCATGAGATCAAGACGATATCTTGGAAAAATAGCTTTAGAAAATGGAAATTGTTTGAAGTAGACACATTATTAATTGTCACTTTTATTACACATTAACAACAGCAACAGGGTTTTCTTTTAAAAAAAATGAGTAGAATCAATTATAGAGGTAGATGATATAAAACAAAAAAAAATGCTAGCCAATTCAGCCATTATAAGTATGAACAGCTGCCCTTTGCTGTTTTAGAGAAAACATGGCACAAGCTGCATTTTATGGACCACTAAAAATTAACACTATAAATCAACATGAATTGTGTCTAATTTACATATCATTAACATATTAAATTTGTATGTCAATTTCAATATATTTCATAAGTTTAAGATTTCTATCTTATGGAATGTATTACAGTTTAGCACTAATTAGATAATTATTAATTAATGTTCCTACGACTAATTTCTAAATTAGTTTCAAGTGAAAAAACAATAGATAGATGAAAATAAACAGCATTGAATTAAAAAAAATGCTATTAGCTTAAATGCAGAGTCAAGTTGAGTTTAATTTGGTTAATTCAATTGATTTAAAAATAATTCATTAACTAATTTAAACTGTATTTAAAATTTAGTTTTAATATAACTGCATGACACTTGAAATTTATTTACGGTTACATATTAGACACCCTTTTTATTAAATTATTGGACCATCCCGTGACACTACAAAAACATTATGTACAAATCAAACCAGTAATTGCTTAATGACTAGACAATTAAACAATTTGAATAAGACTAATGATCACTAGTTTTTGTTAACTAGGTAAACTAGGAAAGATTTTGAGGAGAATGGATAGAACCGGAGGCGGGGGTAATCTTGGCCGGATGTAGTAAAATACACAGCAGTCAACAAGGTGAGACCAGTTTGAAAATCAGGGCTTTATGCATTCATATAGAATCCAAGGTCTTTTCCATTATAGCTGTTAAACTTATTGAACTCAGACTTACAACAACACATCCTGTCATAGAGATGATACAGTGTGAATCACCACACTAATAATATGCTTACAATCACATCATCATAAGCTTCAATTAATAAGATCAGTATCATAATAATGAAAATCATAGCATGTGGGTGCAGTTTTTAAAAATTCTAACAGAATCAACTGTAGTATGCCACAATACAGCAACATTTTTGTGGAAGATGTGGATTTTTTATTTTTGAATATTTTTTGTGATTAATTAATTTAAAAACTGTATTTATAAAGAAGCAGGGTAGTGTACACGTGGAAGAGAACAAAAACAGTTATAGTATTTGACAGAGAGAACTGCAGTTTCCTTTGTCTGCTTACCCCACCACTATCATGGGCACAACAATGTTTTACTAAAGCGTGGACATTTTACTTAAGCATTTCAGCAGCTATTTTAGTTGTGTGTTTTTTTTGAGCAATTAATATTTACATTTTCTTGTATATTTTATATTCTAGAAGGAAAATATATCCAAAAAGTATAACATGGCATGCAACTCGTCTCAACGATACGCCGGGGACGACAAATGACATCCGACGCATTGTGTCAAACAACACAACGTGCACAATCGGCACTTTCTAACAAAACACGATCACGGCACGATTTTGCACCAGGAGAAAAACAAACAAAGACATAAACAACGCCAAAATTCAGATAACGATGCTGGGTTTTGTAGATGATTAAACGGCCCACTTTAACTCCACGCTTAAAATCGCAGTTCAGTGTCAACAACATTAGACAAATAAACCCCGCATGAACTACGCTGACATGTAAATGAGACGACCAGTATTCTGCTTAGCTTTTAAAAAAGTCGAAATCTTCTATTTTAACAGCGATATGGATATAAAATACCCCAATTGTAAAATAAAGTCGTCTTTGTACTAACACATCACTTATATATTTAGAATAAAGCAGTGTTTTAACATGTGAAAACGGCAATTTCTCAAGCGCCGTGCAACTTCAACTTGCCGGTTGATTCATCACGGATCAGCTTGCCATGCTGCGACCCACACCAAGATCTGCGGTGATCGAACATTAAAAATCATCGCTACTTTCATAGCAAAACCGAATTGTACACACACAGTAACATTGTAAACATACATTGCATTAAGGGTAATAATAAAATAGTACAGTAACAATATTTTGCTGGCAATTTTCAGTGAGCGACTCCATCACGCGAAGTTTCCCCTCACTTTGCATTGTTTTGTTGACTGCATTTTTTAACACAGCGAGGTCGCTTAACAACACAAACCTTACGATAGCTAAATACAAGAATATGCTCTCCGCTGAGCTAAGTTGGCTGTATTGACATTAACGGTCGGGTGGGGGGAATAGCAATAACGAAATGTGTAGTAAAAATAAATACTAGTAATCACCTCTTTGGCACGAAATCCGAACAAATTCAAGAGTTGACAGCGTGTTCTCCAAACACCAATGGATCCAAGATGGCGTCAAAAGTGGGACCGCCGCGAAATGCATGATGGGCCACTAATCGGGATAAGGGGGACAATTTTTAAAGACATACTAAAGTAAATTAAATTCATAAACAACAAAAACAACACGCATATTTAAAAAATATCAACAATTATTCATCATGTGAGTGAATTTTGTTCCAGGTTCCAACCGTTTGATTCATAACAATGAATGCCCTAATTGTATTTGTCAAAATATACATTTTCTCAAAAATTCGATTTTTCACTTTTAACAACATTATGGTTAATTATGTTAACAAGTTATTAGCAGCCCTAAAAGGTGTGTTTGCACATCATCACACATTCTCCTTATATGGGCATACACTCATATCGCTATCTATTAGATTTAAATGCATATACTTGAAGGGATGACGTGTGTATATTGACACGATGTTACCGTACCAGGTACACGTCAATACAAATACACATCATTTTATTTTCAGCACAGCTACAAACTGTTCAAATAAACGCCGCGATAACACGTGATTCCTGAGTGATTAATTTCAAACGCTAATACACGACGAATACATTCAAATTGTTAGGCAAGACGAGCAGTCATTTTCTAATTATACATAGGTCAATTTTTCAATTATATTATTCAAACTCATACGCACGAGTTCAGCACGTGTCACAAGCATGGGGGTATATTGTTACAATGTAACATCGTGCACGAGGCGTTGAAAATCACATGTTATTCGATCCGACTTTGGTATTATTGTACATCACTAAATATGACTATATCAAAATACAAATAAAATACTATTTTATAAAATAATTATGTATAATCAGCCAATAAATACTTAGTCTGTGTTCTGCCAAATAATAGTTGTACACATTGACTTCAAAGTAAAAAAGGAAAACCATCTTTAAAATAACATTTTTCGAACCAATATCCCGATTACGCATGATGTGTACGATGAATAAACTGGATTTTGGATGCCCTGTTTAATTTAAACTAAAATTATATTATATTATATTATGTTATATTATATTATATTATATTATATTATATTATATTATATTATATTATATTATATTATATTATATTATATTATATTATATTATATTATATTATATTATATTATATTATATTATATTATATTATATTATATTATATTATATGGGAAGCTGTGAATTCTAACACGTAGTTATTGTAACCCCATTATTCACGATACTGATCAGGTCTGGTACATAATGTGGATATAAATTTATTTAGCATACATAGATAATAAAAAATCAAATGTTTAATCTTTCAACTGCTAACATAATACAATATAGTAACACGGTACAAATACCCATACCAATAGCAAAATTACATACATGTGTGTACTTTCACTTATTATAGTTATCTGCAAATTCAAAAATCCCACTGTCACGATGACAGGTGAGTTTATGTATTTTATACTCGTATATTATCAGCAAAGCACGTGCGTTTTTTGATTTGGGCTTTTCCATTCAGTGAAAAAGCGATCTGCCGTTACCATCTGCTTACTTACTAACATATTAAAATAAAATAAAGTAAAGATTCGAACTACACATACGGCAATACTGTTCAACTTACGCAAACTAATGTTATGAATTATGGTAAATTTGATAGAACAATGGGTTTTAGAAAATGCAACTTATTTCTTTCTCTCTATCCTTTGTTGCGAAAGTTTAGCTATTCTATTTACCAGACCAGGTGTTCGTTATTGACATTATTTCTCGTCGACATTGTTTATACCATTAGGTATTCAATCTCATACTACTAATCGTGTTTTAGTCGGAGCACACAATGACTATCAAACAAACTACATCACGAGTTTTGTTGGTTTTTTTTTGCGATGAAGAAACCAACAAATAATCTTTGTATTGTTTAACTACTAATGTATAATGCTTTTTTAGTGTAGATATTGCTTGTTGTGCAACATATAAATAGTGAAGTACAAATATCATTAAACAAATTGAAATCGAAAATCGATTAATTGAAATTACAAGTCTATGAACATAGAAAATTGGAAAACAAACAACTGACTCACTCAAATTAAAAACAAAATACACGGTCACGAGCCAGGAAGCTATATAAATTTGAATGCCTAGAAGTGACGTCAGATGTTTCTGAGAGTTTGAGCAAATACCGCCACATATGACATTCATCTTATATCAATCTATAAATGGCATGCCCGTTGTCGACAGCTAACGTACGTTGACATTTCAGTTCCTACCCTGCACGAATATATTTAACAACTATATCGTATATTTAACTACCGATATATGCCGAAGGTTATTCATAAACGATAGTCCGAAATTCTGGTTAAAGGGTATATGTGTTCAAATAACACTCCTTGTTATTATTCAGTAAGACAATGTTAACGTTTTGCATAAGGAAACGGATGTGGTATTTCCTCTGTATTGCTTTGTTCATTTGCTAAATAATTTATGACAAAGTTCATTCGGGTTTAATATATTGATTGTAATTTATAAATTGAATATTAAATATTTACTTAGAACCTTCCGATTTTCAAGTCGGTAATAGTTTGAATTTATATGGTACCTTGTTTTTGTTTATTTAATATCTGAATACATGGTGATCCAGGTAAGCTATATATTGCTGCTGTCCAGTTAGGCACTGCAATTAACAATACGAGAGTATAACAAAATTCGAAATTATATACACGAAACACGAATTTTAACAATATAATTGGACTTTGCATCAGTATTTTAATATCAGTGAAACATTTAATGATAGTCTCAATAGACTAAATTCCTCCACACGTTTGTTAAATTTAGTAAAATTGAATTGTGTAATAACAATGTTGAAAAATGAACATTTCCATTTGAAACGCATATATAAATTTCGAACACATAACCATGATTTTGTATAACGTCCAGCAAAGACCGCCTGCCGCCATTTTGAAAAATTATACGCTGCACAGCAACAGTGCACACATCTGGTAATGAAGCATGCAGATTTCACTGAGATACATACTTTTAAAACTCGTATTCAATTATTTTGAAAGTGAATGCATGAATTGTTATTTGCAGAAGCACGATAATATTTGCATGTAGTACTAGACACATCTGCGCCGACATTGGCACAGTCTATCTATGGAGCTCAAAAGTAGAGAAACATATTTTACCTCTATCACATAAGCATTGCACGCACTGTACTTTAATGCATGTATAGAGATGGCTAATGGCGCCTCACAACAGCGTGATTATGATAATATATTTCCACTTTCTTTTGTATTCTCAGTGTAAGTCCAAAAAAATTTCGTTAGCGTGCGAGAAACATAGGTGTTAATCTGTATATGCATTCTCTATTCTTTTCTGTGATTGATTCAGGCACAGTCTCTCTATCCCCGGTCTGGAAACGACTAGCGTTCTTTTGTCTCGAACCGCGTTGCGGGTAAACAAACCATTCACACCCGGGCCAAGGAAGTCAGAATATTCATTAAAATCGGTAAATTTATCGTCATGCAAAGCGATACCTCATTGATTACTTCACTTTGACTTCAAATTCGGACAACCACAACGTAAACAAAACATGTAAACAAAATTATCACTATGAAATTTGGGGGTTTTAAACTATGATACGTATCAAAACCAGCCTACCAACTCATAAACATCCAGTAGCTGAAATGTAAAGATTAATATCGGGAATTATGTTCATCTTCTAGTTTTAATAGGGGAAAAGCATGCTGGCATCGCTAAACTAATCTTGTCAAAATGGCGTCGTTCATGTTAACGTAGTCGATCGGAAAACATGTGATATTTCTGATTCTTGGAGGTTCATAAAAGTTTAAGCCAACTATACAACAACTAATGACTTTATTCGATACACCAGTATAAAACAATGCTTCAATGTTTGTATATAAATGATTTTTTAGTACAAAATAGCGTACAATGTCATTTCAAAACGTCGCCATTTGCATCTCACGATCGAAAAAGTATCCATATAAATCGCCCAATTTAACATTAATAAAATGCGGTGTGACAAATAATAAATCAGCCCACCAATTTTTAATGAAATGTTTCGATCATAAAATGTCAAAATCGAAGACAAATATTGGTTTCGCTCCGAGAAGTATGGCAAATTCAAATTCATTTCAATCACCCGCAAAATCAAAAACGACAAATTTCTGGGTAAAGGTATGAAAATTTGTTGCAAAAATGTGTCGCTGCTGGTGAAATAGATGAATTAAAGAACTAATCGCCGGCTAAAATATGACCTTATAAAGATATCCTGATTAGAAAATTATGTGAAAAAGCTCAAATTCTGGAATAAACAACTAAATTATAAACAAACACATAACACTGACGATGTCAAAAATAGTGGCCGGCTGTGTACTGATCACATGACAAAGCTTTGTCCATACTCGCAACGCGCTTTTGCCAGGAAAGGAAACCAATTCACACCTAATACAATGACAGTTTCCAGACCGGGGATAGAGGGACTGTGGTTCAGGCAACATTTGTGGGATTGGGACGTAGCTCCGTCTTTGAAAGTACGTCTCAAGGTTAACGTTCTGTCACTCATTTGACAACAGTTGAATGCCAGTGCGTTTTGTTTGTCAATAGCGTTGTTCTCGACATAAGTCAATGCTAAACATTACGTAATATGATTGATTATTTATGAAGTTGTACTACTTTCCAAGGACAAACTAACAAAAGGCACTATACAGCGACAAAACACAGTTAAATCGAATATGTACTAGGAATAATTTAAAACGTCGAAAAAACTGTCAACAAAAAAGATGCTCTCTGATTGGTCTGACTGTTAGGTGTTAGAAATGGGTAGCCAATCAGGCACAATCTTGTAATTAGCTTCGCTTTGATTCACGAAGTGTCGTATCTTGCGCCGGTGTTTTGAATGATTTTGCCAGAAAGAGGTAACTAATGAAATAGAACCACTGCAATATATTTTCAATACATTAGATATGTATATTGATTAAGCATGAGAATTGCTGATATTGAATATTCTCATTACAATG